TGGAATCAGCCCAAATATTCTTCAGGTGGTGAATAATTAGAGGAGCCTCAGGACACACATCAGCAATAAAAGGAATGAACTTGTGACACACATAACTTGGATGAATTTCTGGGAATTGTGCTGAGTGGGGTGGGGAAAAGGTTCTCCAAAGCTTATATACTTTCTGATTCTATTTACATAATATTTTTGAAATGATAAAGTTTTAGAATTTTGAGGACAGATTAATGGCTGCCAGAGAAGAGGGTGGGCGGGAGAGAAGTGTATGTGATTATTAAGGGTAACACAAGAGATCTTTATGGTGTCGGGGCTGTATCTCACCTCTAGTGGGAGATATGGGAACCTACATGTGATAAATACTACCAATTTTGTGTGTGCGTGCTGAGGATTGAACCTAAGGCCTGTACATGCTAAGCACACACTTGACCTCTGAGCTACACCCTAAGCCCCTATGTCTATAGATTTTAATACACACACACACACACTACAGTTTTGGAAATTTTTATCATTGGAGGAAACTGAACAAACTTGGAGGAAACAGGGCCATCTCAGTTTCCTCATCTTATTCCTTACAACTGCACATGAATGTACAGTTATCTCAATAAAATTTTCAATTAAAAACAGGTTTAAAACCATTTGCAGCCAGCCCTCCAGAAATCTTTAATATGAGGAAAAAAGACAGGTGTTAAGAAGGTAAGTAATAAACAAACTCAGGTCTCAAGCCACTATCCTATACAGTTCTCCCACCTTATCCATGGGGGGATACATTCAAGGACTTTTAATGGATGCCTAAAGCCATAGGTAGTACCTAACCTTATCATTTAATACCTTTTCTATCATAACTAAATATTTATCATGCACTGTAGCTATAACTTTTGCAATGTGATGTGCAATAGCAAAACTAGTACAGAATTTCTTTCTCCTTCACAATTTAACAGATATAATATTCATTCTTACCATAGATTTAAGCAACCTCAGCATGTGGGGGTTTTGTTCTTTCATTATTGAGAACTTTCACATTTTTAGTTAAAGGAAGAATTCACAGCGTTTCTTTGGCCTATCTCAATTTCCAGTATCACCATTGTACTTCAAGTAAAATAATGGTTACTTGAACATAAGCATTGCAATACTGTGACAGTCAATCTGACAACCAAGATGCCTACAAGTGACTATTGGGTGGGTAGCACATACAATGTGGATACTCTGGATAAAGGGATGATTCATGAGTCACGTACAACAAAACTGTTGGTACAAGATTTCATGACATTGCTCACAATGGTGCAAAATTTAAAATTTATGAATTGCTTATTTCCAAAACCACAGGAAGCAAAACTGTAAAGAAGAGATGGAAGACTACTGTATGAAGAATGAAAACAAGAATGCCATGAGTTTCTCTGAAGGAAGAAATCACAGTTAGGGATGAGGAAAGCAACTTCAAGGGCTTGGGCCTCGATGCACCAGGAGGGCTGAGCTAAAAATAAGCGGGCAGGTATTCCAGACCAGAAAATGTACTACATGTACCAGCTTGTATGCTTGCTTTGCCTCCCAGAAATAGACAAAATGAAAATGGTAGAAGGTCTTGCTTGCTGGATGAATGTGATAAGACCTTTCTGGGTCCAATTAGCAATTTGTGAGATAATAAAGCAGGAATAACGCCAAGTGAATCACCAGAAGGGAAATTCAAAGTGTGGATGGTTTAGAACAAACCAATTCTTTCCCAGAGTCAAGGGAAGTACATCCTATTAGTAAGAGGTTGGCAGCAGCATTTGTATGTGAGGGCCATCAAAGAATGTGTTCAGGAAAATAAAGGCTGTCTGGTGGTTCAGATCAGTGATGATTAGAATTGCAATAACTAGGCATTTGATCTTGTATTACATGGCTTCAATGATTGAGAAGCCATTATGTGGCAGTCACTATTCCAGGGGGTTGGAATTTATTGATGGCAAACTACACCGAGCAAATTACCTCCCAGATGGGGTTCACCTTCTATACTTAGGGCTGATTCCTGGTCAGAGAGATTCTTAACATTTCCACACTGTACGTTTGCCATCTCATGACCACAAACAGAAAAGCAAAGCTCTCTGGGGTGAAGCTGGGAAGAAGGACAGACACAGCACTTCTGACTTAAGAGTGAGAATGATCTTACCCCAGGGTGACTGGAGAAGGAAACTTAAGATGGGCAGATTGGCAGGCCTTGCCTCTGAGTTGAATCAGGAAAGTGAGCTCAAAACCAAGGTGAAAAGTTGGCAGTGTGACCCTTGAAGAGAATTCAAGTTAGCCTGGGGTACCCTCTCTGTTTTCCACTCCCAAACTAGGATTAACTTTGGAATCTTCCATAAATGTAGAAAAACTGGGGGCTTTCCAATCCTAGCTTGGGTAAGTACTATTTCAAGACTAATCATAACAAGATGGCCTTGTGTTGTAAAAGAGAGAAAGAAAGAGAGGGGGACATAAAGAGATATCTAGAGACAATGTTTAGGCAGGAGATATTCTGCAAGATAGCCTTGTTCATAAAACAGAAAACTAGAGACATGGAATTTTCCTCAGAAAGCTAAAAGCAATATGCAGATGAAGATACAAAAATCTAAGCTGCTGGTCACTTTCTACAAAAAGACAACTCAAGGTAAGTGAATCAGGCAAGACTCAAGAGTGAGAAGATTTATTAATATTATCCCTAACCCAGGATTTTTAATCATTTAAAGTTTTTAGGTGCTCACAAGCCTCAAATGTCTTGAGAATAAGTATATAAAATGTCTTTGGATTTAGTTACAGAAGATTCACCAATATATTTTTTTTCCTGAACAGTATTCTAAAAAGTTTCGTTTAATTCCCAGTGAACCCCACATTTCTGTGTCACATTTGAAATGATAATCAGCCATGTTCTATCACTTTAGCCACATTTTGTAGAGTGAAAGAAATACAGACATCTCCTATAATTAAATACTCAACATTTTTGCATGGGCAAAGGAATCTGCATTTTCAAATATGCCAGTCCTCTGGCAAAATTTTCCTGCTTCGGTCCAGGGAAAATAATGCTACAGGCACAAACATCCCTTTTTAGCTTAAGGCTGTGCAGGACTGCTCTTGAATGTCCAGCTTCCATTCAAGTTTCTGGCTGTCCCTTGAGTGAGAGGTCAGCCTGCTACTGACCACTGCAAGGTGAGACTCAGTCTCATTGCCTGTAGAAAATGCAAAACTCTTTGGTTGGCTTTCTGACTAGCAATGTCCTCAGTTTGGAGATAATTGCCTTTAGTCATACCACAAAGCACAGGTCAAGGTAGGGTGGATGTGAAGTCATGAATGTGTGTGTGAGTGTGTGTGTGAGTGTGAGCAAGAGTTCCATAAGAACTTCCATAGAGACATGGCCCATTTTATTTAGCTGTATTGCCAGTAAAGAAGCCTGCTAGTCAAAGGTGCTCTTCACCCCAGAATTCAGTTTAAGCCACAACCTGAGAATAATAACAGAGGTTCTTTCCTGCTGCTCCTTAAAATCTTCCACAGCTGGAGGAGGGAGATATTGCCTCCCTTAGCGATGAATCTAAAACTGCCTTTGTCAATAGCCCTTTCTCTTCTGTTTCTGAGCCACTTTATCTTTCCCCCAACCTATAGTAATAAAACTGATTTGTCCAATGAAGCACACTGAAAATGGACAAGCAACTGCAAAAAGGCAACTTAGCTGAGCAAGGAAGAGAATTTCTGAACAGAAATGGAAATGCTGTGTGACATGAAAAGGTTAACGCTGCTGCTTTATTTTGTATTAGTATTAGACCAGCCACCTCTGTAAACTTATCTCGGGCATGAATCTGGGGTCACTGGTGTGTGCTGCTAAGTGGCATGCTTAAAGAACTAAATAGGATCAAGCTGGCTTGCATGAAAAGAAAAAAAAAAGTAGAAATGTGGCTTTTATCTGGCTAATTTGACCAGCAGACAGAACGATTGGCTCAGTCAAAGCTACCTTGGAACTGGAGATTTGTAGACTGGCTGTTTTAATACAGGATCTTTAGAAAGGTGTGTATAATTTTTTGTTGTTTCACAGAGAGTTCAGTAATTTGCATTAGGTAATATTTTGTCTTCTACAAATATAAGGCCAGATTCCTACTATAAGTCTGGGGGGAGAGGAAACATGAAGAATAGCCAAAATAATTGATAAATGACTTTTTAAAGGTATTTATTTACAAAAGTCAAATTTTGGCCACAGTGCAGCACCAGTCCAAAGTCCACTTGGAAATCTTTAATATGTAAAATACGAGTGGCTTTCCAGCATAACATTCTTTGTACATTAATTATTTTTATGAATGTAATTTTGTCTCTTTAAAAATCAGGATTAAAATAATCCTAAATTAAAATTAGGGGGAGAATGAATTTTCTTCCTGGCAGTGTGTTTTCTTGGCATTTTTTATACTTTGTGGACTAATAAAATCAAAATAATACAAACATCCGATCAAAACCATCCCACCAGCAAGGCAAAATCAACTTTGTCTCCTTTCTCCAGCATCACCAAATAAACCCTGCAAGTCTATCAGACACACTGAAATCCTTACATTTGTACTATGAATTCTGATTAAAATCAAAACTTACCAATTTCAAAATAGATCCCCCCAAAGAAGTGGTTTTCCCCCTATAAAGCCTATACCCCAAATCATTGCTTGAGAAACTTTCTGAATAGCGAACATTGCCTAGTAAAACACATGCAGTAGACAAAATATCGGATTTCTTTTTCCAGCTGTCCAGAATCCCATTAGTGCCTCTCACTTCTATCAGTCTTTTGCTATAATTAGGATGGCTCAGGGTTTATCTGGGCCTTTTTCAAAACCAGATTTCCTTCCTAGCAGCAGCAGCTGTCATTCACAAGTACCCTGATGGTCCTGGGAGACTTCTTTTGATTTACATTATGGTACAGCAATCATGACTGTAAAGTGAAGGAAAGTGTGCACACACACACACACACACACACACACACCAAACGCTGTTGACCTTGTAGATTTTAAAAAGAGGGGTCTTACCTGAGGATGATCACTCAGGTCTGGAACCTGGCTTGTTGTAAACAGGTTATTCTCCGGCATCCCTTCTCCTTCCAAGTTTGTAGCCCCTTCCTTGGGGAGAGAGTCTGCTGAAGGTGGAAGGGCTCTCGCGTCTTGCGCTGCCTCTGGTGAAATTGCACATTCTCCTGTGTGGAGGTGGGAATCCCCACCAGGAGCTGCTGCTTTGGCCCGGGGAGTCTCTCTGTGACGGCTCCACACTGGTGGGTGCCTGATGGGTTCCTTGGGAGGGGAAGCGAGGGTGCCTCCTGCTGCACTTTCTTTGGGGGTCAGCTTCTTGGCTTTACCCTTCGCCCCCGCTCGCTGCACCCTGGCAGGTGTCCGGATGCCCTTCCTGCTGCCTAAGTCCCTCTCCTCTCCTCTTTCTTCTACCGCAATCTCCAAACCCTCTTTCATCCCTGACTTTTCCAACCCCCCAGACGAGGGCTTCACCTCTGTCTCTGTCACCGCTTCATCCATGGTTAGCAGATTGTCACTGGCAAATTCCTCTCCTGCTTGGTGGCTATCTCTGGTTTCTCCTTGAATTCCTGGATAATCATTTTCAGCAGCCTCAGGCAGTGTGGGGAGTGGACATCTCCCCTGTTCACTCACTAAAGCTGTCCTATCCTGGTGAGGTCCCAAAGCAAGAGTTCTCCCTGTTCGCAGGGATGAGGGACTGTGCCTGGAGGCTCCGCTGCTCTTGATCTCCACTTCTTGGAGTTGTGAGTGATAACCACAGAAGCCAGTGGTGGCATCCATAGGCCCTGTGTTACCCGACACCTGAGGCCCACAACCCATTTCACTGAGGAAATGCTCACGCCCACCCAGGCCACACTCACTGAATTCTGTCTCTTCGTCATCGCTTTCTAATAAAAAAACATGCTCAGTCCCCTGCAGGTTCCTTTGCCAAACTGCATTAGTGTAATCTGTCATAACATCGGAACATTCCAGATACTCCAGGTCATCATCTGAAAACTCCTCCGTGCAGGTTAGGGTTATCTCTGGGCAAAGTTCATAGTCACTGTCGGAGTCTTCGCTGGAAACCTGGGGACTGGGTTGCTTGTTGACCGGGGCGCTGTTCCCTGGGTAAATGCATGCAATCACCTCTGAGAGTGGAAGGCTGAAGCTGATGTATTTCTGTGCTTTGGGGGTTTTTTGAGTAGAGGTTAAGATCTCATCATTAGGGCCATCACTGTTTAGACCTCCATCCGTTGGCTGGGAGACCAAGGAACACTCTGTTCTGTGGCAACATACATCTTGTTTTTGAGGAGTATTATTTGAATTGAGGAAATTTCCTCCTGTGCCCTTTGGATCATAAGCCTCTGCAGTTTGCCTTGTTCCTTTAGTATCCGGAGCATTTTCAGAGCTGGATGCACTAATATCATTATTGGCCAATAACTGGGGTGAGCATAAGTGGTCGAATTTGAAGGAGGAAGAATCGGCTGGTGTGGGAGCCCCTGCAGAGATGTTTCCTTCTTCCTTACAAGGGTGTTTGCTCTCATCAGTTTGGTTTGTGCTTTTCTCCTCATTTGTCTCTTGTATGTCACATTTCCACCCTGTGTCCCTGTCATCTCCCAGGTCAGGAGGGGGTCGTGGGTTCTCTGATGGACACTCGACCTCAATGGTAGCAGAGCAGCAGATCAACCCCGCAGAGCTTTTAGCTGAGATTTGGTAAACGGCAGCATCGCTTTTGGTACAGCTAGGATGAAGAGAACACACAGGTAAGTGTGGACACGCACGCCAATGTTTTACACGTCATGGTGCACAAGGAAATAGCTGTCCTTTTACTGCATGCTCAGAGAGATCTGTGGTATCCCTGGAAAAGGGGATTGTGGTCAGCTGCCCCTAGTGCTGAAATCCTGGGAAGTTCAGCATTTCCCCTTACGGCTTTCCACAATCTCACCCTAAATTGAAAATGCCAATGACTGCTCGGATAAATAGAGGAAATATTTTATTTAGTTTCTCCTTCTCCCCCTTTAAGTCAGTTTTGTGTTGTAGGAATTTCAAAGAGCAATATTTCTTTCTGGAGGGAGACATTGTACACAAGTAACTGAAGTATCGTACCTCATGTGGTGGAACATAGTCAACAGTAACTGCTTTTAAGACCACGCTGAAGGAGTGTAAAGACAGCACCACAACAGGATTGTGTATGAAGGGCAGTGCCATTTCCTCCTTAATTTAACACGACTAAAGCCTGACACCCATTGGCTGGAAACCTATATCCACATGTCATCCCAACTACATAGATCAAGCCAGGTGCTTGGCTTTGGCCCAGCAGGGAAGAAAAGAATCCTGAATCAGACTGAGCCTGCTCTCCCTGTTCCAAGAGGAATAGTGCTCCTGTGGCTCCTCTATTGAATAGGGCCACAATGAGTTGGAGACTGGAGTGCTTTACTGCCTCATTTCCTGCCAGGATCTTTTCCCAGGCTTTGCAGTCCCAAGAAATCTCATTATATCTGTATACGTTGCATTCTTGTTTCTCTTGCATTTGACATCATTGTGATATTGCCGACTTCCCTCTATGTGTCATTTGGCTCAGAAGTCAACAAGCATTTTCAGAAGGCAAGAGCTGTAGGTCTCACTTGGACTTAGAGCAATGTTTAGATCTTCATTGATGATTCCCTGTGTAAAAGAGGCACAGATGTCTAACTCTGAGGATGGGGAGTGGTGGTCAATGTTAGACACAGAAACTCTCTTTCTACCACATACTTTCTGTTCTTCACTGGAGGGAGCCCTCGGCCTTCTCAGACCCATACATGCGCATAAGCTTTAATTCACCAGGTACCTATTCACATGGGCCTTGTTTTGAGAAATCAGAGATCAGTTCCAATGTCAATATTGCTCAAAGGAGTGAAAGGAGGACACACCACTGTGGGTCAGGCTTGGACATGACCCAGAGCTGATATCTGGCTCTGCCCTGGCCAACAGCTCAAGAATTCTGAAATTTAAGACAACTTTCTGAAGGAAACAGTACCTGTTCCTATCCATTTTGCAAACTTATTCAGGTTTGAATGGGAAAATCAGGGAGAAGGAGCTTCATAAAGCCAAAACTTCACACCAAATGTGTTCTCCAAAAATATGGAAGTGCCAGGCAACCCCTGGCTCTTAAGAAACATACAGAAGAATCATCCCAACACTCTACTGGAAATTCTTAGATCAGAGTCCCTGGTTGAGGAACTGTGCACATGTTTCACATGTTTTTACAGATCTGGAGCCATTCTAGAACACATGGTCCTCGGCCACGCTCAGAGCTGTCCGCATCCTCATCCTCCTTGACTGGGCTTAGGTCTCCTGGTGAAAGCTGAATGTTTAGCTGAAGAAGAGGGACTTTTGCTGCAGTTTCACATTGCAAACGTCATTCCCTTCAGGAACTTTGTCAATTAATTCTTGGGGTTTTAGCCCTTAATTAAGAGTTTATAGGGAGCATAAAAGAACACCATGGACTACTGGAAAATCCCAAACAATTCAGATTTTCTGACCCATTTAGCCCATGCAACCGCTGCCACAGAAACCACCTACCCTGAGGCTACCTACCCATGACTTGGGTGGAAAGAAAAGGAAAAAAAGAAAGTAAGACTGAGAGGCTCAAAGGGCCAATTAAGAAACAAGAGGAAGAGAGATGATTCCCAAGACTAAAGGAGAGACAATAAAAAGAGTTTTAGAAAAATGTGGAGAAAATAATTAAGTATATTCAACTTAATGAATAACAAGAGGTTATCATGACTTAGTCATTAATAATTTTATGACCCATGTGTTTTAGTTGACATAGGATTTATAATCCCTCCTAGGTATACTAAGTAAAGAGGAAAAGGAACTGGATTAAGCATAATTAACTTCTTGCTGGTAAATGAAGGCCTTTGAGTTATGCTTTGCAGTTGACACATCCTTGATAATTATCACTAAGTAGCTTATAAAAGAGGAGGAGAAAATTGGGAAAGGATTCCAATGTCTGCTGAGCGCCTTCTATGTTAAACTTCTATGTGTTTTAGTCAGCTTTTTTTATTTATCACTGTGGCCAAAAGACCTGACCAGAACAACGTAGAGGAGGAAAAGTTTATTTTGTCTCATGGTTTCAGAGGTCTCAGTCCATAAGACGGCCAACGCCATAGCTCTAGGTCTGAGTTGAAGCAGTACATCATGACAAAGAGCATGGTGGGTGGGGTGGGGGAGCAGCTCAGGACATGTCCACAGGAAGCAGAGAGAGAAAGAGCTCTGCTCAACCGGAGACAAAATATAAATCCCAAAGGCACACCCCCAGTGACCTCCAATCACACCTCACCTGCCTGCAGTCACCACCTACTTAATCCATATCAGTGGATTAATCCACTGACTGAGTTAGGACTCTCAATCTAATCTTTCCACCTCTGAAAATTCTTGCATTGTCTTACACACAAACTTTTGGGGACACCTCATATTTAAACCATAACACAGTGTCGAGCTATTCCCTGTGGGCAAAACAGAGGCTCAAACGAGTGAAGCAACTTCCCCCAAATGACAAAGCTGGGGAGTGGTAAAACTGGAATAAAAAAGCAGACTTCGGATTCCAATGCCTGGCGCTGTGTGTGCTGTTAGACAACAACGTTCAGAGAAGGAAACAGTGGGATGCAGAGGTCACTGTGCAAAGGAAGAGTCTCTGTCTCAAGCCTTTGCCTTGATCAATTGGCCAACATGAGCAGGGGATGTGCTAATGCCGAGCACTGTTAATTACTGAGAAGCCAAGGAGGTGTGTGAGAAATTCTCAGAGTATTGTGGGTCACTTCTGTGCTCAGCTGTACAGTCCACACTGGAAAGAGAAGAGACTCACAGAAGAGACTTCAGTGGGAATGGCTAAGATGATAGGGGATAAGGGGGAGTATAGAATCTTTGCAAGATGCTGGCAGAGAGACATGTGGCCCCACAGTGATTTCACAGGAATACAAAGCCACCCCAGAAGAAATTCCCTCAACCAGTGAGTTCCCTCTTTGCCTATCTTTTCTTTGGGTTAAAGGATGTAATATCATTTCTCCACCATGTTCAGAAAGCCTACCTCAAGTTCTCTAAGTTCTTTCTAAATTAATCATTTCCTGGTAAAGTAAAAGACATTCATGTTACTGTATTGGGTGGGGCTTCTTCTGAGCAGAACCCCCAGAATCAGTCTGAACTAGAAAGTCTGAAAGCATTTTGGTATCAAGTCTCTTTTGTATCCTTCAAAATAACTGAGGACTCTAAAGAACCTCAGTTTGTGTGGCTTTTATCTATCAACATTTTATCAATCAAAGATTAAAATTTTTAAAAATTTGACTATTTATTAATTCAATTAAAATAAAAATAAATGCATTACACACCAGCATAAATAATAATCTTATGAAAACTATTTTTTCCAAAACAAAGCAAAATTTTATTAAAGGAGCATTGTTTTAATTTTTTCATATATTTTTAATATGAGGCTTAATCAAAGGTAGCTGTATTTTTCAAAATCTTTTTATGCATTCAGTGTGATGAAATACAGTGTTTGGGTTGAAGAATATGAAGAATATCTAGCCCATACATTAATGAGAATGTTACCAAAAGCTTGGTCCTTCTCCCCATGACAATCCAATAATAAAGATTAAGGTTTTGAGAAAATGGAAAAAGAAATTTATTGCTTTGCTAGCAAAGGAGAAACACAGGGGACTCCTGTCCCAGAGTCTATAATTCTCCCATCAGATGAAACAGTGAATTTTTAAAAAGATGATTCAAAGGCTATAGTCCAGGTGTTCCCTGTCCAGAGTTGTAATTCACTTGCTAATTGGAGAGAGAGTCATTTCTTAGATCTTCTGGCACCATCCCTGAAGTCTGCAATGTGACTTACTTTGTTCTTGTGGAGGGTGTGTGCAAAGGGACAGGAAACTCTGGATAAATGGGGAAGAAAGGTAATCCTAATTTCCCTGAGATTAGGGAGGGGGTGTGGAAGAGAAGAAGAAAAGGAAATATGTCCATTTTAAAAATAAGTCACAGTGGCAGAGCAGCAAGGGCTATATTCAAAGCATGAAGTGGACCACTGTTACAAGTATGTCAGAAAGAGGAAATAGAGAAAGAGGAAGAAAGAATATTTGAGGAAACTGCAAATCACTAGTTCAGAGAAGGGACTGGATTATATTTTTGGTTTTCTTTGAAGTGCTAGGTTCACTTTCTTCATTTGGGGGAACATCAGCCAAATATCCACGTTTGAATAACCATCATTTGTCCATTATTCTTTCAGGGAAAGACTTTTTATCCATGAGAAAAGTGGCTAGTTCAGCTTGCAACTTAAGCAGCGACACGGGTGCTCTGCCTCACCAGCTGAGGCACCTCTGCATGTTACCCACTTGATCACATGGGCACTAAAAGGGCTTTTGCTGAATTTTCAAGATTTAATAGCCATTTTTACTGTTGTATCAAGGACGTTATTAAGTAAAACACTTTGCTGTTTTTAACTATAGCCATCAGGTGGTAAAGGAACCTATGACAGCTAATGCAGTCTGGGGGTGTTGCCTTGATTCAGCGCAAAGACACCAACCTACTCACCCTCCTGCTTTTCTATCATCAGTGCACAGGTCAACACAGTGAAAAAGGCAAATAATGCAAATACTGCCTGAGTTTTTTGTGATAATAGTTTTGACCTCATGAATGCCCACCAAGATTTTTAGGAACCACTAGAGGTCCATGGAACACACTTTGAGAAACTCTAAATTGGAGAGA